TTGTTGTTGTTGTTGTTGTTGTTGTTGTTGTTGTTGTTGTTGTTGTTGTTGTTGTTGTTGTGGTGGTGGTGGTGGTGGTGGTGGTGGTGGTGGTGGTGGTGGTGGTGGTGGTGGTGGTGGTTGTGGTGGTTGTTGTGGTTGTTGTTGTCTTGGTTGTTGTTCTTGTTGTTGTTCTTGTTCTTGTTTTTGTTCTTGTTTGTGTTCTTGCTGTTGCTGTGGCTGTGGCTGTGGCTGGTGATTCTGTTGGTTGTCTGGGTGGTGGTGGCTGTGGTGGTGGCGGTGGTGGTGGCGGTTGTTGCTGTGGTGGTCTGGCCCATCAGCTCTTCGATTGATGCGTGTCTGCCTGCAGAAGCCCTGTGTTTGGAACGCGCCGGAGTCCACGTAAGGCACAGACATTTTGCAAGAAGCGAAGGTGCTCAGCAAGTACGAAATGAGAACAGCGTGAAAGGCCAAGTCGTACACAAACCAAGTGACGTCGAAATACAGCCTGTCGAAATACAGCCTGAACATCTCGAACCTGTGCTAGCCTTCTCAAAGCACTCACGAGCTGGGGCAAACGTGATGCTTGTTCTGGCCTGTTTTGCTGGTGATTCTCTTTGCCTTGCAGTGCCTTGGAAAATGCGGCACCGGGTTGCATTTTTCTACAGTGAAACTCCGATGCACTTTGGGTACGTTTGATCGCCCCTGTGCGGATTCCTGCAGCCCAGCCTTTGCTTAAACGCGGGACTCCAATTTCGAGAGGAGCACGGGTAGCCGACCAGCAACGCCTTGATAGTCTTCTCAGTGCTGATTGAAGAAGCTCGTCCCCTCGGCTGAGGTTCGAGCCTGGCACAGAGTTGTCCTTGAGCTGTCATCCAGAGAGATACCGCGGCATGCATCGTGAAGGCACGGGAAGAGTCGGCAAGCGCCTGTACCGTCACAAGGACATGCTTTGCATCCAGGCAGCCCTGACATTGGATGTTTGTCTTGTCAAAGTTTCCGGTGAGAGCTGCCTTTTGGAAGATATTGTTCAGCAAGGTCACCTTGGATGTGTAGGCGGATGCACCAGGGGACATTGCATGTCACTTTTTAGGCACCTTGTAGCACCAATCAATATTGTTGCGGTTGATATGCACAAGTATTTGAGTCATTGCAAGGTGCCGCTCGATCCCGTGTCTGGAACGCCCTGATTGTTGAAAGGGAAACCAAAACAACCTGTGCTTGGGGTCCCCAGTTTTTGGGGCTACCCTCAGTGTGACATGAGTTCAGGACACTACTATCGCTAATTCATGGTTGGTTCGGGGACGACATGTGGCCGAAGTTTCCCACAGGAATCCCAGAGGGACCACGCAGTTTCCCATCTACCGATTTCTTTCTGGCTCTGTGGAAGTCTTCTGTCTCCCGGCTCAGACTCGGAGCTGTGGGACGATGCTGTGCTCACCTGCGTGGACGGCCACTGGATGGACCTGGATGCAAAGCACTCCTTGATGAACTTCGTGTGTGTGGCTTGGCTCACATGGGCTTGTCCTCGTGTCCAGGGAAGACTTCCTGAAGAAAGCGGGTATTTCAGTGGGAAACCCAAGAGGAAGCCGACTCGCTTATTCGCTTCCTGAACGTTTGCTTGACTGCTTCCTGGCCGGAATACCTATCAAAAGCTTTCGAATCTAGTTTGTGCTGTGAGCCTTGCGGGCTCTAATGCGTGAGCAGCCATCCTGGTCTTCATTGTTCTTGTTTGTTGATCACATGGTGGCACTTGGGTCTGGCCCAGAATTCAGGAGCCTGGCGTGCAAGTCACCTCCTCGAAGAAAGCGAGCTTGGTGAAGAATCAGCAGGCTGGTTCAGAGCTGCTTGGACGAAGGGAGTTCTGAGTGGGGTCCATACATGCTGAAGAGATACAAGGAGCAAGCATGCACGCAACTGCAGGCACGTTTTGGTTGCTCTGACTGACTGACTGGACTGGCCTGGCCTGGACTGGACTGGACTGGACTGGACTGGACAGGACTGGACTGGACTGGACTGGACTGACTGACTGTCTGACTGACTGTTACACTTTCGCACACTCTCGCACACTCGCGTGCAAAGACACGTGCAAACATGGTCCGCAGGGGTGCGCAGAGATGATCATGCTAGACGTGTCACTTTCTTGACATGTAAATCACGAGCCTAGCCTTAGACCCATACACGGTTTTGAAATGTTTTGAATCATGCTGGTACTTGCTTTCCACCAACTTTGCCAGCAGAGAAATTCGAAGGAGTCCCCGTTACATCTGGATCTCCGCCAGACTTGATCATCCTCGACGGTCTGCATCACCAGGGATAATTTGGTTGCATGTGAGCCTGCCGAGGAGTTCGTGGTGGCAACGGCACTATGGCTATGTCATCCACAATTTCGTGAAACGCACCACGAACAATGCGCCTCGGATGGAACGCATTTCCGGTGCTGAGGCTGTTGCCGTGGAATAGGCTTGCACTATTCGAAGAGGAAGCGGGAGCAATGTGTCAAACAGCGCACGGCTAAAGGTCACTTTCTTCCACAGGACTGCTTGATCAGAGAGGGATTCGATGTGAACTTGGAACGAATTCGGAGAAGCCGCAAAGCCGGCGGGGGCCCAAGACCAGCGGAGGCACGTAGCTCCTTAGGCCACGATTCGGGAGTGCCTGAAGCCGATCTTCAGCGACGGCAAGCGGCCGCTGCACAAAACCCTGGAGTTCCCGCTGCCTGGCTTCAGCTTCCCAACTCCAGCCAAGGCCCCTAAGGTGAGGGGTGATTGAATGGGCTGCATCAGATTCATGCTGCTTTCTAGTCTGTTTGATCAGCTCCATCGCTTCGGTCAAGCGCCAACTGTTGTTTGTGGTCGTTTTTGCCACTGACGGCCGCTTTTGCCAGCCCAAAGCCAGCTATCAGCTCCGACAAAGGCAAGCCTTGCTTGAGCCTAATGTTGACCTCGGCATTTTTAAGCCTTGGCAGATGATTTTCCCCGAAAGTGAGGAACACCTCGCTAGAAAGCGCAAGTCCCCAGTATGAATGGGGTCTCTTCCTTTTCCTTTGGCTCCTTTGGTGCCCTTGGACATGTTTTTGGCCCTCCCTTTTGCCTTGACCCCTTCCCGCCCGGGCTTGATCACTTTTTGTTGCCCCCGGGTTTCAGAATCAAGGAATTGGAGGCCGAAGACCGGGCATCGCGCGCCGGCTGGCACGTGGTGTTTGTGCCTTCTTTGATGGAACCTTTTTTGGGAGTACCAGGGAAGCTTAGAAAGGCAAGCCAGTCATGTTGGAGGGTTAGGGCTTCCCGAAAAGAGACACAGAAATCTCAACACAGGAGTTCCTCCTAACAAGCCTTCCTTCTGTTTTTCCTTCTTTCGACACGAAATCTTGGAGGCTTTCCCCAAAGCCACACAAATATCTTGGAGGAGTTCCTCCCGGCCGCTCCTTCCTTTGTTTTGCTTTGGCAGGAAGCCGTTCCCTGAGGCCTTTGCAAGTGCACGCGGACCTCACGAAGCAGCTCTCCCCCGCCACAGAGCGGCGCCACTGGCCTGAGAGATTCCCGGGGGAGGATGCCACGGAGGCGCAGCAGCGCGGGGGCCCAGGGGGCCGTCAGGGGCCCGGGGGCCGGACCGCGGCGCGTGGAGTATCCCCAGCCAAAGAACTTGGTGGCTCCCAGCCATCCGGTTCCTTAGCCTTTTGGCTTGTTAGTCTTTTAGTTCTTCTTTTCTCCAACCACAATTCGGGACACTGCTGGAATTTGCCGAGAGCCAACATGGCCAATAAATTTTCCGGGGGGAAGGTCCTATGGTAGGTGGGATACAAAATCGCCACAGAAAAAACAGACGGCACGATTGAGGGGATCGTTTTGGAAAGAGAATATGTGTGACAGGCCAGAAACGACCCCTTTGAGGGGATCACTTTGGAAAGATAATTATGCGTGACAGGCAAGACATAGGACAAAGAGGCAGTCAGAATCAGGGTCAACATTACACCAGTTGAGCAGAGTCCAAGAGAAAGTAGCTGGCGAAAGGGTGCACGTAGGCGCTCGCGTCGGCGCATTTGGACGAAACATGCCCGTGTGGGCGCCTTTTGGTATTTCGGAGCTTCCAGTGGCTTTATGCACCCTCATGTGGCACTTCTACCCGTTTGGCCTTCAGGAGTCTATGTTGTCCTTTCCAAGGGACGAGTTGGATTTCTGACTCGCCCGTTTGCTCAAGATGTCTCGGATGTCGCGCGACTCAGAAGGATTTTGCAAGGCCTGGGTGAACAGAGAATGGTCATATTCCCCATTTTGGGAGAAGCAGAACGTTTGTTCCGTGCAGTCGGGCATAGCTGCAAGTTCTCAGTTGTGAGGTCTCTTGGACTAAACCGCAATGTCCATGGGTCTTCGCGAGCGGCGCTGCGAGGTGTGCCCCGGGGTTGCTCAAGGACAAGACTTGCACGCCCCAATGCAGCGAGCAGGCCTTGGTGCTTGCTGTGTGACCAGCAAAGATTGCAATCCGGCAATCATCCTTTGGTCGACCTTGAATTTGCTCACAAGTGCGCACAATTCCTTGCAATCCGGCAATCATCCTTTGGTGGTTGACCTTGAAGTGCGCACAATTCTCAACGTTCACATCATTTCTCGTGTTTTCGTTGTGCTTGGCACTCAGGTCTGTGCTCTGTGAATTGGATTGAAGGCTTGTGGGATTGGAGCTCGCAAGCCCCGGCCGCAGGTGCCAGCAAAGGACGGAGCGCAAGCCGTAGGGTCGTGCCACATTTCCGCTGATTTCGCAAGGTAGTGGTTGAAGGACTTAGACGCAGGCAGAGGGGGCCATGTAGCTGCAAGCTGGTGAAGAGACAAATTCTGTTTGGTCTATCCACGTTTGTCAGTCTCTGACCACAGTAAGACCAGACCAAGGCAGGTGTAGTCGTTCGTGCAGCCGCGTGATTGTCAATGTATTGGGCTCAAACTGTGGAACCTGTTCGGTGTGTGTGTGTGTGTGTGTGTGTGTGTGTGTGTGTGTGTGTGTGTGTGTGGGGCTTCAGTTGCAGAGGCTCGGAACTGGGGCAATGTTGACATTTTGATTCAATTAACCCCCCCCCCCCTCCTTATTAATGTTAGACTGCAGATTCATCCGCGGGACCGTACCAATCATGGGTGGTCCCCTTTTTGCAAGGACGTGACCTATTTTAGAGGAATCGTTTGACTAGTAGGGTCCGGTGGACTAGTCCGATGTCGACATCATTGGGGTCCTTTTTTGAGTGGGGCTTTCTTTTGTCCAGGCGACCCCGCTGATAAGCAGCCAACACGTGCCCCAGGACATCATTTTCAAGCAAAGCAGCGAGAAAGGTGCAACGTCCACCGCCCAGTGCGATGACGGATACCATCTCGTGCCTTGCAAGCATGTCAAACAGCTCCTTGTGGCTATTTTGTTGTAAGGCTGGGAACGTGAATGAGGGCCATGCAATGATTCCTGGTCTTTTGGTATTTGGTACTTTCATGGCAGCGTTTGTTCCTTCAAGTACGTTGTATATTGGAAGTATGATTCACCAATCATTCGAACGGGTTTGATGGGGAAGTTTTGACGTATGCCGAGAACCCCCCACGCCGTGCGGAGGTGAGCGGTGGCTGCAGTGCGCAAGGGAAAGTCAGCCGGCCCAAGAACAACTCCTGGGTGTGCGAGTCGGAAGAGCAGACGCAGGCGGGTTGGGTCATTCCAGCGCCGAACATGGGAGTGGGATGGGCGGTCAGCTGGCGACTGGAGCGGTGGGCCATTTGCAGAGGTGAGGGGCTGGACAGTTTGAGCCACAATCAAAACCCAGGTAGATGAAGGTTAGTACGGGGCAATCCCAGCATGTGTGCGGCCTTGATACTTCTTTGTGTGCTTCTGGGTAGACCATTCTCATGCCGGGGTTTCATTATGACTCATTTTGGTGCTGAACATACGGATCCCAAGTCATGGATTGGGCTTGCAAGTGCAAGATGCCAATAGCCTTAAGCTGGCGGGCACTGAGGTCGAGCACTGCCAAAGGAATAGAGTACGCACACAGCATTTGTCTCCCCCAGAGGTGATCCATGAGAGCTGCGTACTGCGTACTTCACTTCCTTTTGTTGCGACTCTCTGATCGACTGACGGCTCTTGTTTTGAGCTGGTGAGACCAGATTCAGAAAATTCCAGTGCCAGCGAGCCCTGATTCAGGTTGCGCATTTCAGGAGCCACCATGAAGTTCAGTCTGCAAGTTGCCGAAGGCTTCTTCTATCCATTAAGTGGGGCCCGTTTCTTTTGCCGTGCGACTTGCCACACTTTGCCGTGCTTTTTTTTGGGGGGGCCCGTGGAATTCGCTTGCGCAGGCCTTCGCCTTCTGCGCGCCCTTCGCGGCAGTGGTGGTGGAGGCCAAGGGAGCTGCGGAGTGCCCCGAGGGCGAGCTGCTGGTTGGCGGCGGCTGCGCTGGGAGCGAAGCGGTCAAGGTGAGCCAGCGCGAGGGGCCCAGAAGGCGCGCTCCGAGCCCAGGTTTGGGGGGGGTGGGGGGGGCAGGGCCGACAGTTTTCAATGGGAACCCTTTGGCGTTTCAGTTGCCTTGCGGTCTTGGAACGCCGTCCCGAAGGATTTTTTCATGTCCGATTTTCGGAGGTCGCGACCTGGGCCGAGTGCCGAAGCTGAGCCACTCCTGAGATGGCCCTTTGAAGAAAACAGCTAGGTTTGTATCAGGTTTCCCAGAGAGAACGACTTGTTTGCTGACTGGCAGCAATGATTGGTCCTGCAATCCTTTTTACATATCTTCCCATGGCGTATCCTTTGCCTTAGGAAGTACACCGCAGCCCGCGTGACCAACAAGCTGAGCGTTACCTTAACTCTGAACGTATAAACCATGGCAACGCGGTGGCCAATTCGGGTTTGTGGGCGAACTCGGTTGAGCCTGCTGCATTTGATGTACACACCTTTTGAATCCATTGCGACTGCACATTTGCAAGAAACCATTCTCAAGCAACGCAACTTACCACTTTCAGCACTCGGCTGACCGGCACCCTCATTGGCAATAAGATGTCGAAGTGCCTGAAGTCACCACAATCCATGATTGACTTTCTCCTTTAAGCAGTTGGAGTCCTGTTGGGGCATGTTCGAACATCGCTGCTCATGTTCACGTGAGGCTGCATGTGCTCGGTAAACATCTTGTAAAGAGGGGCATCACCAGCAAACAAGGAGAACAACTCAATATAGGGATTTTGACCGCCCTGCAAGCAGGGCCTTGCTGCGAAGGGATGGGCATCTGCTTTTGCTTTGGTTGACCTCTGGCTGAGATGGCCGCTCATTTGGTTCATCGCTACTGCAAACCCGCACCAACATGCACCTGAGCCGAAGCAACATGCCTTGTCCTTGTCACGAAGTGAAAGGCAAGTGTAGGCAAAGCCAGCATAAGGACTGCAAGTAGCACGTGCCAACACAAGGGATAGATGCAGGGTCACCAACAGGAAACAGCCCATTTTGGAGGTAATTTGCTTTGCCACAAAGCCACTCTTGGACGATCTTGCTTGTTGTTGGTACAATTCATTTATCAGTCCCTTGGGGGAAAGAGGAGAACTTGGCCTCTCGTGTCAACTTAACATGTCCTCAAAATTAGTTGGAACCGGTAGAATTTTATATTCTTATAATGGTTGTTATCCTTTAGGTTTCACTTTGGAACCAACCCAAAGGGGGCTCCTCAGAAAGTCATTGCCCACTGTGGAGGTGGCAATGCGTCGCCGACTCCGAAGTCACAGCTTTTGCTTCTCGGCTGAAAAGGGGTCGAGCGGGCCGGGCGGGGATGTTTTGGAGAGCAGCGGCTTTCAAAAAGGTGCGAATAGGGAAACCCTGGCCCTGTGAAGTTGCGAAAAGTTGGGTGGGGGGGGGGGGGCAGGGGGTACTGGACCTTCGGTTGCTATCAATTCGCCACTCAGGCCATGTGCATCGACCTGGACTTCGGGGTGGAGGCGCGCGCGGGACTTCAGACTTCAGATGAGAGCTCCCGGTTTTCCGGACACGATTGCTTTGATCGATTCATTGGGATGAACCAGCCATGGGCATAGATGCTTGGATTGAACGCCCCGGTGATTCATTGGTTGTTTGGAATTGGTCGTTCAGACTTTGTGACTTTGGGATGGACGCCTTGTAAGGTGAGAGGTTTGAGTTTAGTGGGCCATCGACTGCTTCAAGTGCTCCAGCTCTTTGCCGCGGGAGGTCCAGGTGCACGAGGCCTACAACCGGAACCGCAGCTCCATGCTGGTGGCTTGTGGCTCCGACCGCCTCATCGGCGCAGGCGCCAGTTAGAAGTGACCCGGGCTCCAAATCGCAGGAGGGAGCGATTTGGGTGTCTTTCTTTAAGGTTGTACCCGCAAAATGGTGGTTTCCGTGTGTGGCTTCCCTTTGAAACTCACCCGAGAAATGGTACCCTTCAAGAAGAACACACCCATGTACTTTGAAGGATCTGAGGTTGCCACACGCACGGCTCTCATTTGGCAGCTCTCAATCTGCTCGTGTATGCCCACAAAACATCTTGAGCACAAGAGAACAAAGAACCCAATTGCGATCACAAGCCGAACAAAGAATCCAGCAATCACTTGCTGATTTCTGCTCGTTTCTTTACCGCTGCAACTTTGTCAAAGTGAGGTCTTCCGCACCGATGAAGCGCCAGGATGCCACACCGCGGGGAGCCTCACGAAGAGCGAGCCTTTCCGCGGCGACGGCTGGAGCTGTGAGGCCACGGAGTCGGTGGACGCGTGGGCCGCCTGCGTGGACAAGGACGGGAGGAGTTTCGTTTCGGCCTGGGAGGGGGGGATTTGGAGGAGAAGCGCGGGAGAAGTGGGGGTGTCCGTCTTTGGAGGAACCCTGGAAAGAGTGGTTTGGCATTGGTTTCCCTATTGAAACAAGCCCAAAAAGGGCATTCTGAAAAAAAAGGCACACCCAAGTTCAAAGGACAACTTGAGCGCATGCTTTTGTTCTGTGTGCGTCTCTGTGGGAAATAGAATCAAATAGAAGCACAGAGCCCAACAAATGGTTGACAGATCTCATTGAGCTGAGATAGTGGCCCTCTGAGATCGAAAGCACCTGACTCTCATTGCAACAAAGAATCGATGGTCTCGGATTTTGTACTCTCTTATTGTGGTGTTCTGCAAGGACATGTTTGATCTTGCCCCGACTATCTTCAGAGTGTTCAGCTGAATGCTGAACCATGGTTGTGAGTTGGAAGCCAGGAGGAATGGGCAAGGCGACACTGTTTTGGCACGGTTTACGCACATACGCACACAATGACAATTATCGTTTCGATTGTGGCTTTGTGGATATGGCTTTGATCTAGTTTTTGATATGATGATCTTATGGATCTGCCTTTATTCCTTGCTTTGTCCCCACGCTGCACCTGTGTTTGTGCTTTTTACGCCGAAGAACAGCAGCACTGGATCTAATTGGGAAGCAGAAACGAAGCCACATCAGAAACTAGATCGTAAGCCGCATCAACATCCATATCGCATAGAAAGCCATATGGACCAACACATGAGCAGCGTTCAAAACCCCGATGAAAGACGTTAGTAAAGGTGCTGTCCTGCAAGTTGCTGTGAAGGGGGCCGCCAATGGCCGATTCTCAACACTGGGTTGCTTGCTGAACCGTCCGAAGGGTTTCATGGCCCAATGTGCTCCGCAACAGGAAATTGTGGAGTGCACAAGATTCGCAAAAGGCCGTGAAAGGGTTCGCGAAGGCCGACATATATATAGCCTGGCACCCAGGTTTAGACCATCGCTCGCATTGATTCATTGGGGTGCTAGCAAATGAAGACACATATTTAAGACTGCAGGACAGCGCCATACCTGAAGCCCTTCACCACAAATGTGGCATGTGAGTTATTGCTTTTTGACTCGCACAACCACGGATCATGCGACCCCATTCTGTTTACAACAGTTCAATCAAACCATTCCGACGGCAAGCTTCCGCAGGACACGGCGGGGCTCCTCTCCTGTGGCGAAGCAACAGTCCCAGCGCTGAGCGGCGAGATTGGATGCTTGGAACGGGACAGTGAGAGAGTTACAGGCATGCTTGAGTTTGGCGCTCCTTTGGAAGTGGTTTCATGTTTCGTTTGTGGGGCGTAAGGGTGCTTTGGCAGGGGGCGAGCCTTTTGTGCACCCGCGTTTGACACACATACTGTCCGATCTGGCTGTTTGAGTCATGTCATTCCCAAGCCGCGGTTGGAAACACACCATCTCAAAAGTGTGCAAACGAGAGCGTCAGCAGGCCTCCTGTCCTGCGCTGCCCAGCTTATCTTTGTGAGTTTTCTTCTGGATCCAAACGTGGACAGCCAAAACGCCGCCGTGTTGCGCATGAATGAAGTTGCACGCTTGCCACGTATCCTCTGGGCTGCCAACATTCTCAATGTCAAACGCTCAGGATCCTACTGCGACCTGCACGAAGACTGCAAGCAGGGCTTCACCTGCTTGGCCAACCGCTGCTATGAGCCCTGCTTCACCACCACCAGAGGGTGCCCTGTCGATAAATCGGGTTCTGAGGGGTACTCGAGGTGAATGTCGATGGTTTCAGCCAGTTTTCCCTTTGCAGGGGGCCACCGTTTTTTTTCTCCCCCTTTTGTTTCCTCCCTTTTTTCTTTTTTTTCTTCCTGTTTTTTACGCACACTTGAGTTTAATGGCGACTGTTGGTCAACAGCTTGAACAAAAGGACTACATGCTGAACGAAAGGTTGAGGCGCTAACTTGCCAACTCGCGTTGGGCAAGCTGTCAGACATTTGCTCGTCTGTATGTACGCCGTGGCCTGTAGCTGCAATCCCTCAAGCCAGCGAATCGCGAGCAACGTGAGTAACATGGCAGGTGGAGCAAATGAGACATTTCACTTCCTGATTGTGGGCGTCCCGCTTTCTCCACTGCACAGTTGCGTATCCATCGGACAGGAGCTGTGCTTGCGCGGGCACAAGGTCACCGTTCTGAGCTTTGCGGAGAGGGGAAGGCAGAAAGTGGAGAAGTACTCAAAGGCCTGCAAGCTGAACTACGTCAGCTTGGGTCCCCTGCCCGTGGATGACGAGCACGAGGACGCGCTGGTGAAAAAAGGCATGAGCAGCAACAGCACGCTTCACCAGATCGAAAACGTTGCAAAGAACCTGCTGGGGCCTTACAGCGACGCTTTGGCCCTTGGAGTCGAGAAGTATTTGGAGACCGCCGAGATGCCCACCTTCGGTCTGGTGTCGATGCCTTTTGGCCGTGTGGGGCGACTTCTCGAGCAGCGCGGCTTGGACTTCGCGGTGAACATGCCGACGATCTTGGTTCCACCGATGGTACCCTGGGCTGCGCCCTATGTCCCGGTGCCCTTTCTGGGCGTGAGCGTGCATGATATGAGCTTCCTGGAAAGGATGCTGGTGATTGGGAGCAACTGGCTCTTCAACCTGGTCCGCGTGGCCGCCCTGACAGTGGGCTATCGCTTCTCCTTCATGCCGGAGTTGGGCTGGGACTTGTGGATGGGGCGCCTGGTCTTCGTGAACACCATCCCGGGCATGGACTACACGCAGCCGCTGCCGCCCCTGGTGCAGTACACGGGGCCGGTGGTGGACGTGAAGAAGATGGAGCCCTTCCCCGAGGATGTGGAGCAGTGGTTGGAGGAGCGCATGTGCCAAAATAGCATGTGGAATTTCCCCCCCCCCCCCCACGCCCCCACTCCCCGCCGCAAAATGTGTTTTGTGTTTTGTGGTTTCCCCTTCACCCACCCTGAAAAGTTGCCCAGCCTCCCCAAAAAACCGAGCCACCCTTTCAGGAGGTTCCGGCGAACATGCCCGTGGTCTACGTTAGCTTCGGCACCGTGGTGCGGCTTTTGCCCGACCGCGCCCAGGCGATGCTGGCGACGCTGACCTCAGAGGAGTACTACACCCTCTGGGCGCTGCCAAAGCCCCAGCAGGTGGGCAGTCGATTGTGTTTGGGGAAGTTAGTAGAGAGAGAAAGGAGGGAAGGGCCTAGTTTCAGTGGGACATTTTTGGGTGAGTTCCCTCATGCCCAGACCAACAGTCAGTGAGTACCCGGTATTTTGCGGGAAACTCGGCGAGTTCCCTCCCAAGTGGATAGAGGAAGAGTCATTTCGACTGAGCAGGTGGGCTTGCCAGAGACTTTGCCCAGCACCGTGAAGATCCACCACTGGGTGCCCACCACGCGGGCCTTGGCGCACCCCAAGGTCAAGGCCTTCGTATCCCACTGCGGCGGCAACTCTGCGGCGGAGTCCATGGCGCTGGGCGTGCCGCTGATCGGCTACCCCCAGTTCGGGGACCAGCCCGCCGTGTGCCGCCGCATCGCCGACGCGGGCGCGGGCATCACCGGCCCGCAGGGCGGCTGGGTCCAGGCGCAGGACGTGCTCCACGTGCTCCGAACGGAGTCCTACGCCCGGAAGGCCGAAGCCATGTCCCGGCTCTTCACGCAGTTCGGGGGCGTGTCACGGGCAGCGGACCTCATGGAGCTGGGGGCCAGGGGGGACCACAAGTTGCTGCAGATGCCGCAGGAGCGCTCGGCTACCACCTGGTTCCTCCTGGGAGGCTATGATCTGATGATCTACTTGCAATTGATGTTTCTCTTGCTCGTCTTTGGCTGTGTGAAATGCTGCAGAAGACGGCCTTCAAAAGAGAAGATGCAGTGAGAGAAGCATTGTAATTGGCATCTTAGTAGTTTTGGCAAGTTCTGACGCTGCCTCGTGCAAACAAAGCTGAATCCTCGGCACATCAGACATTCTTGGCCTTGGAACCAGATTGGCGAGGGAGTCTGGTGGCTTGAGCGGCTTTTGCCGCCAGCTGAGAAATTCAGCGGCCGTTTACTGGTCGAGCGAGTGTACAGCAATGCTCAGGCCTCGCACGAGCGCCATTAGCAGCGAAACAATCGCGCCCCCTTCATTTTTGCGCTTTAGTTTGCGCTTCTTTCACATGTTGCCAGCCAGGCCATCTACACCCACGCCTATTCCGCATTCTGTCACACAAACTTCATACCCGTCTTTCGCAGCTTGTTTGGACCAGGGAAGGGGATGTTTGACTCGGATTCCCAGTCCTGGTTGACGCGGAGTCTGCGTGCCGTCTTACACACGTTGAACTTGTGAGCAGACTATTCTTCATATGTACATGTACGTAGATATGGTCGAGGGTTCGATGCAAATGTATATCTATATATTCATATATGTGCATGTACCCGCACAGGTGTTTGTATGTGTACGTGTGTGTATATATATATATATTTCTATGTATATACAATACATGTATATATCTATCTTTGCTTGTACAAATAGGAAGAGTGCCGTCGCGTACGCCAAATGAGTATTGAGGGACACTTCAATTGGGCATGCGGCAGCCTGAAACCTTGACGGCTTTCGAACTTATGACCCAGTCGCATGTCATTGTCACAAAGCTCATTCAAGGGAAGCCACCCTGGCGATTCTATGGATCTTCAAACGGGCACAGCACTTCTTGCAGTGCGCGCGCTATTCCTTGAAAGCACACCCAGATGTGAGCTTGTGTGCGCTGGCGTGCATCTCCCTCCTGCGGTAGGTGTTTCGTCAACCACACCCGGCATGCGTTCATTCTGCGTGGGAACGGGTCTTCAGCCAACGAGCTCTGGTACTCCAGCTCTACCATCCGGATGAGTGGCAAGCAAAAAGGATGTCCATGAACAGATGCATATCCTCTTTGAGGGCCATTCAAAGGTGAGTGGCTAACCCTGCTCCGAGGACCTATTTCTTCTACGTGCCGCGGAAGCGCAAATACCTCTGCGACTATGGAGATCAGCAGCCTATCCTGGACTGGACTCGCAATCAGAACCGTCAGATGGATCCCTACCTCATCAAGGCCGCTCAGCATGGAGTATTTCCCAACGGGATTCGGATTCCCCCCCCCCCCTTTGGGTTGGAGACAGGAAAGCCAACAGGAAGCCGTGGCCATTTTACGCGGGCACTGCACCAAATTCGTCCCAGAGATGTCAAGGATGGTTTGAGTTGCGCGGTATTTACTGCAGACTCGCTGCAATGGCACAGCAATCTTTCGAGCGGAGTTTGGCATCTAAAGTGGCCGCGAAGGTGTTAGGGGTTAAAACAGCAGGCTTGAACGAGATCGATCTATCCAGCCTTCCTCCCACTATTTCAGGAATATGTTCTTCCTCGGTTTACGCTCCTGTAGGTGATATGTCCGTGGGAGGAAGACAGTGCCGCAGCCGGACATACCCTTTGCGAGGGTCCTTTCGATGAGAGCCATTGGGAAACCAACTCAGCACCAACCTTTGGAGTTCCGGGAAACCACCAGGAAAACCAAATTCCCGTTTGGGTGGCCTAAAAACCACCACTTCTGTGTGGCTTTGTTTGCCTTTTTTTTCCCCCAGCCCGCACATGGCGTCCGAGGTGGGATTCTTTGGCTCCGAGGGCGTGAAGATCCCGGAGCTCTACTGGGACAACTCTGAGGATGACGTGAAGCATCAGCGCCGGGCCTCAAGTGCAAAGTGTTTCGTCCCTTCAAAAAAAAGCACTCCAAAGGACTTGGGCCGATTTTTTTTGGATTGGTAGCGTGTTTTTTGGTGCGCTTCCCGCGAATTCCCCCTGGGATGCTGTTGCCATTGGGGGGGAGTGAGCCAGCCACCTTTTGCAGATGCGTTTTTTTTTGGTCCTCCGAAGCAAGTACGCCGGGAGCGCGCAAGCTGATTCTGCCTTGAGTGTTGCCAGTGCGCCTGGTACGTGCGAACATAAGCCAGGCACCATCTCCGGAGCAATCTATCATGGCTTTTGTGATGCCCCGGGGTGTTCTTGAGCTGGTTCACAGCGAGGATCACTCAACTTCGGATGCGTGTCTTTTCCAGTCGTTCCCCCAGGTTGATCTGGCTGACCAACATGGACGGTCAGAAGGAGTGCCCCATGCATGCAGACTTCATCAATTTCATCAATGCCAAGGTGAGCCGGCCCAGCGCAAGGGGAGTGAAGGTCTTCAAACATTGGACCTGACGGATGAGTGATCCCCGAAAGACTCATGAGTTCACATGGAGACGCTTTGGGGTTTGGTTGCCCACACTGGGAATGTGCTCCTGGAAACGGTTGGGCCCTCAAGTTTTTGTTTCGGTTTCTTTCAACTATTTGCCAAACCAAACAAGTGTTCAGGCTCGAGTTTGTGGCTTTACGCTCTTACAACAGGTTCTGCATTTCCGGCGTGGTATATGAGGCCTGTGCCTTAAGCCGAGGTGAGAGACCTTTGCGCCAACCTTGCTTGCATTTTAGTTCGCAGGAGTACACTCGGACACAGCAGTTAGGTCTTGGAAACGAAAGCCGAGCACATTCTTTTGCGTGCGAGGGCGGCAAATTTCGACCCTGGCCCGATTGGCTTGCATTTAGCGACGCACGCGACATCCAAGCTAATGGCTAAGTATGTAGGACTGTTGCCAGTCATGTTTCCACCCCGCACTGATTCAGCTCCGAAAGGCGAATCGGCAAAGTTGTGGCTTCTGTCTTGTGCCCATGCGCATTGGGATGCATTCACTTAGGCCGAAACAGTTTTGAGCCCAAAACGACCGCCCGCTTGCGCTGGGCGAACCCTGGTGGCTCGCTTTTCTCGACGGCGCGAGGCTGTGGCGGAGAAGCCGAGCTATGTCAAGCCGTGGTTTGTCGCGTGCAGAGGGAAGTTTTACCACCAGGGCGACATCACCATGCCGCTCTGCGGTCAGGCCATGGGAGGGCTGGACCTTTCGGGACGGGATGGAATCGGTGCATGTAGGCGCCTCGTACCCCAGTACAATCCCAAGTGATGCCAGGCCATTTTTTATTTTTATTTTTGCGTGCACTAAAACAAGCGCAGCATGTCTCAAGCATCCAAGAAGCTTGTCAAAGAGCTTGAATTGCACGAATTGGCCCCGACTCAGCCCACGCTCCTTCCATCTCCATGCTCCATGGTCAGGTGGACTGCCCCAACGGCACAAGATTTATGGGCCGGATTCCGCAGCAGGCGGCGAGGCTCTCAGATTGCGCGTGACTGCAGGTCCTTGCTGCACACCATCTTCGGGTTTCGGTGATGCCATACGCTTGTGACGCATGTTCGTTTTGCGGCCCTTTGTAGTGTTTCTATGCGAAGCATCCGGCAGAGTCTGAAGCTCCGCTGTCTTCGGCGCCTCAGCCGGCGGCCGGCTTCACGCTTCACCCGGCTGAGGCCAAAGCCTGCGATGGCTTCACACTCTGCGAGGGCCAACTGAAAGACTTTGGCGAGGAGGCGGGAGATGGCAGCAACCTGGTTTTCGGCACTTCGGTGTGAGATGCCAAAAAAAACGCCTTCCAAGTCGAGGTCAGAAAGCTAGAGATAAAGAGCTCGGTTGAAACGAAGGGAAGGTATTCTGCGAAAATCCTGTTTCTTTTTAAAGGGACCCATATCCTGTCAGGTTCCATGTTAGTTGGGGTACATTGAACCCAAGGCTCAGGACTGGCGCCAGGCCCCACGCCGCGCTCGGGAACCGGTCAGGCCACCTTGATCCGGATCGGCTGGGACGCCCCGTGCGAGGGCAGCTTCATGGGCTTCTGGCAAGGACCTGAAGGGCCTGGCCGCTTCGCTTGGATCGCTCGCTGAGGACAGGCCCATTTTTTCGGCAAGGGACCCGCGGGGAAAAAAAAGACACCCGTGGGAGAGGTCCGTCAGTCTGATCCAACACGATTTTTACATCTGGGTGCCTTGCAATGGCTTGGCCGTGAGTGGAGAACTGCTGGTTGGCTATGTTGGGGATTCAATGAACTTTTGTTTCTCTCATGCAGAAGCGGAGGGCAAACAGCAAGGCAAGAGGGCATCACCAATCACCGACTCGTCAGCACCCAAAACCATGGTTAGCCTATTTCGCAACCATGTTGGTAGAATCCAACGCGGAGGCATTTTGGAACCTGCTCAGCTGCTGATCGGTTTCAGGCACTGCTCAAAACAGACTCTGATCTTGTTGGGATCTGATGTTGCAGCTGTCAAGTGTCGCCTCACTGCATCCTGCCTTATGCGCACGGTGTTGAACAAGACCGTTGATCCGAACACTGGTTGCTTGCCTTGAGCCACATGTGAGCGCGCGAGCGAGTTCGTTCCTTCGCAGAGCTGTTGGCGCGCTGAAGCAGAGGGACTTTGTGGCGCGCTCGGCTGGCTGACCCTTCATCTTGGTCAGGGACGGGGTTGGGAATGAACCTATCTCCTGAACCGCAGTCTGAACCTAAGGATCTAAAAGGAAAGCCGCAAATGCAGCACAATGATTGTCTCACTCCCTTCTCCAAGTCATTCCATGCGTTCCTGGACCCGCACCGGTTACGCTCCATGCAAGCGGACCGCCGAGATCGCTTTGAAGCCTCCCTCTGCAAAGTGCCGCTGGTGGATGCGGCCTCCCTGCAGTTCCGCACTCCCGGCTGTCCGGCTGGTCAGGCCGTGGATTCGAGAGGAGAGGGGTGCCCTTGGGGCAAGAGCCCCGGCGGAGTTTTTGTCCGTGGCGGCGATATAAGTTTATTTGGGAAGTCGTGATATGATTTCATTCAAACAGTCGGAAACTCGACTTTCACAAGCTTGAACTGAGATGGATCTGGAACTTCAGCATGACGGTGGAGATTGAGAGTGCCTGTCAAGGAAAGAGCGCAAGTCAGACTTGATCCAAATTGGACTGCTGATGCGTTGTGTCTTTTCCCACAAACTCAAGTGGAACACATGTTTACTCCTCAAGTATCACAACCAGCTTGACACCCTCTGGTTTTGGGCAGCAGTCTGGTACGCTGCTTAAGATAGGAACATCGTAGTCGCGCGAGTCATGCCTGTCATGCGAGTCACCAGCATTGCCGGCTTTGACAAAAAGCAACCCCACTTGCGCAACCATGCCTACATGCCAACTGGTGCTGGGACCTAACTTGCGACGTGTCCAAACAGCCCTTGTTCTCTTTTTGTTGCACCAAACTTGAGCTTGCAGGGCTCGTGCTGACACTGTTACCATGATAAGGGTGCAACAAGTGAAGCTCTTCTCAGATGCCGCGAATAGGTTCAAGGAGAGCACAACTGTGAATCGGGCACGAGGTGCATACCCGATCTGATTGTTTTTCGCGCTTGTCCCTTCTCCTCGTGAGCATAGGATGCCTGGAAGCCAACCAACAGTCCAAAAATTCCGACCAGTTGAGGTACTGCCAGTTGCCATCACATTTTCGTGGCAGTTCAGGGATGAGGCGGGTTCAACCCCGGAGAAAGCCGCCTCGCATGTTCTGCAGGTCTACAGGGCTGCTGCGACGGATGCGCGCCGTGGCGGAAGTGTCGGCTTTGTCCCTTTTGCCTTGCACCACAAAACACTCGAAGGCGAGAGTAAGACGTTCTAAGGGTAGACATATCGACACCCCTACAGAAGAACATTGAAGCTGAGGCCCAAAAGTCCAAAACTTCACGTGGCACTCGTGCCGTCTAATTTTATTTCCAGAGAAGCTCTCTGGGAAATGTAGGGATCGGGGCGCGCAACTTCGCAAAAGCCGATTGTGGAGCGGCTAACCTAGAACCCGGCCGAAAAGCAGCGCAAAAGAGGTGTTGTTGGATGGTGGTGTTGTTGGCAGACTTACTTAGCATAGAACTTATTCTGGGCCCCCGCAAAATGGCCCCAATGAGCCCAGAACAGGTTCTATTTTACTGAGCTCCGGTCAGATTCCAACATCTCGCGTCTCGATTTTTTCCACGGAAAGGCTTGTAACATAGAACCAAAAACCACCAGGGCCAACAGTCTCTCCCCTAAGGAACAGTCACGGAAGTCCATGTCAGGCTCCATGTCAGGTTTCACTCAGCTTGCAGAAATCCCCAAGGACCCGCTCCTACAAATGAACACCGAAACCAGCAAAGAGTTACACACACACAAATAGTACCATCATCCATTGAATCTGGACAGGCGAAAAGCGACACATTGGCTGGCAAATACATGACACAGGACATATTGTGAATCACTTCGAAATGGTTGCACGGGGAGTCCGTTAACGGGAAGCCTTTTGGGTCGGGTGTGGCATCCTAGAGGAAAGACCTGCTCAAGCTGACGCCGAAAGGCAGACCCGGCAATTGTTGGATCCTTTCCTTCCCTTTCAGGCTGCCCCCTCGGCTTTCTGTTTTGCGCAGGCATTTGTGGGCAGCCTGCCAAGCGGCCTGCCAGTGGACCCAACTGCTAAGCGCTCCAAGGGTGCTAGGCTTGCAAACAACCCTGAAAATGAAGAGTCACAAACATAATCCCTACCGCCAGGATCAATGCCCACACAATGTTTTCCGGATTGTTCCTTCCCTTGACCTGAATGTCAGCGATTTTCCGCCAAGAGGAGAACAAGCAGCATTCCTTCTCCGCTTGAAGCAAGCCGACATGTCGCTACCATCCGCACTCTCTGGGACCTCTTGGCTTGGGTCTTGCCCGAGACCAGAAAATCGGTGCGCCCGACTTGGCTAGGTCCCCGAGCTGCGTGGCTTGCCCGGGCGGCACCTACCGCGCCTCCGGGCCCGGGGCTCTCGAGTCGAAAAAAATCGGGCGGGGGGTGAGGGGCCAAAATGGGCCCCTGGCAAAGGGTCCACGCCCTTTGTGGTGGATCCCATGGGTTTTTCGGTGAATTCACCACCGGTTTTGGGTTTCCTAGTTTAGTGGTCGGAGTGAATCGGATGTTCACTGGGGGTACGATTTGGGTTTGGACCCAGCCGCTGCCATCTCTGAACAAAGACCTCGGTTTGGCCTTGCAACTCGGAGCTGTGCTGGGCCCAATGGTTCCAAGTCGGGGATGTCACTGGCACTCCCGCGAGGCAGCGAGGAAAGCAGCCAGCTGTTTGGCTGTTGGATTGCTGTTGTACCGTTGTGCTGTTGACTTATACTTTTGCCGGGGTTACTGTTCTGTCGCGCTGTTGAACCGCTGTACCGTTTTTTTTTCTTCTTCTTCTTATTTTGTTTCTTCTTCTTGTCTTCTTTTTTTTTGGTTCAGTTTTGCTGCTCTAGTCTTGCACTGTCGGACAGATGTACCGATGCACTGTGGCACTAGTGTGTTGCTGTTCGTTGAAGGTTTGTGCTATTGTACCGTTGTGCCGATGTATGTGTTTAACGCCATGTTAAACCGGCGTACTCTCTCTCTCTCTCACTCTCTCGCTCTGTCTGTCGCTCTCTCTCTCTCTCTCTCTCTCTGTCTTTCTGCTGTTGTACTATTTTGCGGGTTTGCTGTCGCACTGCTGCACAGTTATACTTATACTGTTGTACGTTTGCCTAATATTGTTGCGAAGTTGTATCGCTTTTTAAGTTGTATGACTGTACTGTTGTGCTGTTGTACTGCTTAATTTGCTATGCGGCTGTAGCCCTGTTGGACTGTTGTGCAACCGTTGTACTTTTTTGTTTGTTTGTAGGAATCGAGGGTTTATGCAAAAGGGGAACTGTGTCATGTTCACGTAGGCAATTTAGGTTGGGGGCGTAGGTTCGCGCAGGCATGTGGGGTGCATCATCGTTTTTCTCCCTGCGTAGGCACCCGCGTAGGCAAGCCTGGAATGATACATCATAGAGCTGTGCATGTTTTGAAGTTTTCATGTTTCTTGGTGGTTCAAGGCCACACGAGGGAGAGTAACCACATGGTAGCTATGAGACTTGTATTGCAGACTCGTTCTGAGGCGGGGCAAATGGGGGTACTGCTAACCATCTAGCTTCCTTTGACCTCCTTTGACTTCCTTTAGCTTCCTTTAATTTCTTTTGTTTAGCTTTCTCTGGCTGCCGTTAGCTTCCTTTGGCTTGTCTTAGCTGCCTTTAGTTTCCTTTAGCTTCATTTAGCCACCGCAGAACGAGCCCATGATTGTATTGCTGCGTGCTGGCCGGAAAGCTCCTATCGCTCAAAGAGGCCCATTTCGTGAATCTGTCTGTTCCTTTCCAGGCGAGCCGCTGCTGCTGCTCATGTTTAGCTTCTGGTTTGGTCTGCAGCTGCCAATGGAGCACCTCGAGCACCAAAAGTTGCGATTTTGGAGCTGAAGCTGCCAAAGTGCACTCTGTGTATCACAGTTAAACTCACAAGCCGCAAGCGGGCAACAAACGTTACAAGGCTCGAGGCAGCAAAGCGGCGGGCAAGCGACATCCTCGCGGTCAAGGAAGACGCAAATACGCGCACATAGGCACCCCTTGAAGTCTGGAAGGGAGGCTTTGCGTAGGCACTCTCGCGCAGGCATGTGTGCAGTGTATATTTTCCGAGCACCCAAAGACGCACTGCCCTGTTGTGCGCCGCGTTGCTGTTGCAGTAATGCAGGGTTGTACTGTGTTATGTGTGGCCCTTGTGCTGCTATCCAGTTTTACTGTTTTAGCCCTGAATCACTGTCCTGTTTCACCGTGGTGCCGTTGCACCTTTGTGCTGCTTCACAATTTTGCGGTTCTCATTTGTACGTTTCTACTGTGGTGCTGTTGTAATTGTGTTGGTGTGTACTTTTGCGCGGCTGAGCTGTTTGCGAGGCTTGGCTCTGCTTTGAGCGGTTGTGCTCGCCGTTTCTCTGTTGCATTGCTTTGCTGATCTTGTTTTTGCTGTTGCACTGTTGTTGGTAGTTACAGTGCGCGGGCCTACTTTAGTGGCTGCCTTGCAACGGCGTTTGGACACCTCAAATGAAGTCCATTCCCCCAGGACAGCCTGGACCTTTAATCAGCTGGCAGGAGTCCCTGTTTGGCAAACCCATGTACGCCATCTTAGAGGCCCCATCCAGGGAAGCCAGCTCCGAAGTTAGGCGAATGGCTGAGGCTTCCCTGAAAGAAGTTGCCCTAAGCATGCTGAAATTGGGTGTTGGGAGAGACTCAAAGGGAATCCAAGAGGACACCATCAAATTTTGGGCAAGTTTTTCATTTAAGACTTGCTGGTGAGGGAAGAAGGGAATGACCCCTAACCTTCAATGGATTTGTTCGATTCTACTGCTGCGCACGACCACGAGAGCGGATTCCAAAGCCTCAAGCACCGCACCTCAGGGCATATGTCCCATCTGAAAGTGTGCAAAATTAGGCCCAAAGGCGGATTTCCCTTCTTGGTCTCCCATTCAATATACTCCGAGGGAATCCCAATTTCAGAACGCACAGCTTCCACCTTTGGGCGATCAACCAATGCAACCAACAGCGAGCCAGTCAGCCAGCCATTTCTGCAGGCCGCTGACCGCTTTCTTCTATTTTTGCACGGCCATATGTTCGTCAATTTCCCCTAAAGCCCACAGGGATGGAGCAGGTCAGTGCATCGTCTGTACACGCGGAATTCGGATCGTCTGTACACGCGGGACCGGATCGTCTCTGCACGCGGGCCTTTTTTGCCCCGGATCGTTTGTACACGCAGTGCTTACTGCTATGCACAAGAAGGGACAGGGGCGTTGACAGCTGCATGTTTCCTTGTCTTTCTGTCGTAAGTCCATCATTGCAAGTCCATCTCTGCCGCACTGGTCCGAATAAGGGCAGGCTGTATCTCAGATGCAGCAAGTTCTTTAAGCGTCAGTCGGGCCAAAGCTGTTGGTTCAAGGCTGAGTTTCCAACAGGCCTGTACAGTAAGCTTCCCAAAGAGGTGAAAGAATTGCATCAATCGCTAAGCATGAGCTTTGCCCGCACCGCGTAGATCCTACGCAGCAAGCGAGAAATGCGCCGGCAGCACCGCCAACCAGGGCTCGAAGAATGTAAGTTCAGGTACGCAATGCCAGAGCTAAATACCCCCTGTTTGTGTCGCCAACGCCTCTCCGCAGCGGGGGCTCGCTGCGCACGTGAGCGGGCGTGCTTATTAGGTGGGAGGCGTGGGTGCAGTGCGGCACCCCCACCCCACCCCACCCTCATTTGCTGCACGTCAGCGGGTGCGCTTACTAGGTGGCAGGCATCTGTGCAGCGTGGCTGCTAGGTTAGGCGTGGATGCAGTGCTGGCGGGTGCGCGTGAGCGGCTGTGCCCCACCCCACCCCGCCCCAACCCCCCCACCCCCGCCCACCCCTCCCCAAGACCCCACCCCGTCTGTTGCGCGCGAGCGGGTGTGCGCTAGGTAGCAGGCATGCGCGCAGTGCTGGGCGGGTGCACGTGAGCAGGTGCGCTTTCTAGGTGGGAGGCGTGAATGCAGTGCTGCGCGAGCGCGCGTGAGCAGGTGCCCCACCCCGGACCCAACCCCACCCCCACCCCACCCCCCTCCCCAATACCCCACCCCATCTGTTACGCGTGAGCGGGTGCGCTTGCTAGGTGGCAGGCATGTGCGCAGTGCTGGGCGGGCGTGTGTGAGCGGGTGTGCCCCACCCCACCCCAACCTCCCCAATGCCTGACCCCAGCCCAGCCCACCCTGAGCAGGCGCTCATTAAGGCGGCAGGCATGTCGTGCTTATCAGGTGGCAGGCATGCGTGCAGCGCCGGGCGGGCGCGCGTGAGTGGGTGTGCTTATTAGGTGGTAAGCGTGGATGCAGCGCTAGGCGGACGCGCGTGAGCGGGTGTGCCCCACCCCGCCCCGCCCCAGCCCCCACCCCCACCCCACCCTTCCCCAATACCGCACCCCATGTGTTGCACGTGAGCCTCCCCACCCACCCCCCACCCCTTCGGGCTACTCTTCCGCATGCGTGGAAACAGCGCTGAGCGGGCGCACTTGAGCGGGTGTGCTTACCATTCCCCCCTCCCCCCCACCACCCCCCCCCCCACAGTGCTGAGCGGGCGCACTTCAACGCGTGTGCTTACCAATCCCTTCCCCCCCCCCACCCCCCCACCCTGCCAAAAGTGTGTGTGTACAGATGAGCCAGATGAGAGAAACCTTGTGTGCGCAGATGATCCAGAGTGTATGGCGCAATAAGTGACGAAAGCCTGTGTGTACAAATGATCCAGATTTGTGTGCGCAGATGATCCCCTGCCCATGGAGCATGTTTCATTTTGGGATACATCCATTCATCCGGCAAGTGTCGAAATGCCCCAAGGTTTGTCAGCCTTCCAGCCCTGAGTTGGTGGTTTGGATCGGTGGTTTGGGGATTGAATGGGACCCTGGCCTCTAACCTCCGAACCACCAATCCAAACCACTCTAAGGCTTGAAAGGGTTGGTTCCCCATTCTCTTCCCACCCATCGTTCCCTTTAGAAACCACGCTGTTTGTTCCAGAGGATTGGCCCATCTTTCAAGAGAAGGAACCCTTAGACTGGAAATGGAGGTAGAGCTAGAACCGCCTTTAACCTCCAAGCCGGCTTGGACAAATGAATTTCCAAACCGCTCCTTTTGGCTCCTTTTACCGCTTGTTCCTTTCCAGGGAGGCAAAGCGGCAAAACCATGTCCAATGAGAGTCGCAGGCAAGAGGACTGCCGGGCGTGCCTGCCTGGCTTCCACTCCCCGCCGGGATCCCCGCGCTGCTTTCCCTGCCCACCGCACGCGGCCTGCGAGGCGGATGCCCGAGGCCCGCGAAGCCTCGAAGTTTTGCGGCCCTGGAAGCCTCGAAGTCGAGGGAATGACTCCGTTCTGCCACTCTAAAGGGGTTGCAACCAAAAGGAGGCAATGCATCTCTCTCTCTCTTGCGCCGTCTTCCTTTTTTTTTCTCCCACAGTTTCCGTGCCGATTTGCTGGAAGGGTAGCTGAAAGATGATTTCTTTGCTCTTGGAAGAGACACACGGGTGCCATGTTAAGGGATTCCTCACCTGCAGATCGACCAGCCTTGAACAGCAAAAACCCCTCTTCTGAACTTTTGTTTTTGTTTTTTGCTGGGATACATCTGTTGAGTTTGCATGAGGCTGCCATGCCACAGCCAAGAAACAAAGTGCCAACATCCCCTGGAAGAGTTTCATTTTGGATTGGGAGCCATCCGTGTTTGTTGGTTGGAGAGCAATTATTGAAAACTCTCACTGTCATCATGGCATCACGTGGAATCGAAGAGGATGCCTTATCTGAACAAGGCAAGCGGTATGTATCCTCACGCGACATTGAACAACACATGTCATGTTCCGTTTTCTGCATGTTCAAGACACGTCTGGCGAGTAAAGCACCGGTTGCGTTGTTTTGCCATGCGTTTTCCACAGGCTGGAACGTAACGCTGTCCTTAGAGGAGGAGACCATGAAGAAGATGAGAAACCTCTCGAAGGCGCAGGCGCGCCACCGTCGCATGGGAGTAGAAAGATATGACCCCCCTTTTGGACATGTCGGAGAGGAACACCGGAGAGAGCCTCATCACATTCAGGTGTGATACAAGTTTTGCCCTTTTCCCCACTATTGAACATCAACCAAGGACCGGCTTTGATAACGCCGCAATTATGGCCTCGAGACTTTGCACAGCAGGTGAGCATGCCACACTAGTATGATGCTTCGTCTCCTCTTGTTCTAGCCTTCCGCAGATTCGAGGTGCGTTTGTTGTGATCCTCCATCTTTGGAAGAATAGGCTGTGGCTCAAATAAATGTAGTGGAACCAAAGACTAAAAGCTGCATAACTGTAGCCTTTTAATTTCGAGCCACACCCAACAGTTGAAGGCAGACAGTTTTATGTGGGAAGTTGAGAGTGTCATGGGCAGCCAAGCGTTGAGTTCGTAGCCATACACCACCTAGGGGTAGTGGCTGCATTGCGGCATGAGAGCTAGCCGGATTTGATGTGTGAGCACCGATACTTAGAGTGATTGACGGCTTTGTCTGTCTTTTTTGCAGCCATTCAGCGGGTATGCTAGGAGTTCAGAGAGCTGCTCTTGCCGTCTGGTAAGGCTGATAGATGAACTATGGCCACCAGAAGCTGTGTTGTGCGTGACCTGGCGTTTCAATGTCATGCAACCATGTGAGCACGAGCCAGGTCATCCTGACCTTTGGGGTGGATGACGAAGGAGGAGGCTGGATTTTTATGTTAGAAGAGGACAACTTCAGTCAGAGAAGTTTTATGCTTGCCCGTTTCCCACAATCCGGTCAACCGCAGATCGCATTAACAGAGTGTGGGACGGCCAATTGTCGCACTCTTTTTAAGTTTGTAAGCAACAAAAGCCTTCCGGGCTCCAAAAATGACCGCAAACACCCACGTAACGTAGGTCTCATCGTGTAGGATTCTAGGGGAAAACAGCTTCTGCTTGGCCAGTGCAAGGGCTGGGGGATGAGGTGTGTCACTGCAAAAACAATCCGGCTTGAGTGTCTGCGACATTCCTGGTCATCGTTTATAAACGTGCCGAAATGCTTCCTGAGGCTGGAAGAAATCATATTGTATGCAGGAATCAATTAAAGATGATGTGACTTTCGTGGAGCTTTCCAAACTTGGATCTGGCATGTAGAGGCTGGCATCTTTGGTTTCGGCAGTTTCCGGGGTGAGTTTGCAGGATTTGACCCTCTTGATTTCAACGTGCTTCCCCGCTTTCACCTTGCCAGTCATGTTGGTCTCCAACAATCGCGAACCGGTGTCTTTTTATCTGAATTAACGCTAGCTCTTTTATGTTTGAATGACTCATTAAAGGTTCTTGACCAAGCAAGTGAGTGAGCAACTGGTGATTCCAAACAACAAACACCCATACACCTTAGTTTTTGGGAACAAACACCGGAGCCTCCAAAATAGGACCCAGCCCTGGATGGTGTCCCGTAGGTTTCCCTTGAAGGCCCCAAAACGAACCTCAGATATGACAAGGGTTTCAGCATCTCGATCCAGACCCATTCATCTCAGGCAATCGGTTTGATCAGAAGGAAACCACAGGTTCAGACCACTGACCGTCACACGCTTTGCGGCTTTGCCGCCATGTCTTGTGCCCTGGGTCTGCCTTTGCAACTTTTGGTGTGTGTTCCGCATGCGCGCATTGGCTATCATGGAGCAGGGATTTGCACTGGTCTGTTTCAAGATGAGATAGCCCCGAGTGCCCCAAAGAGAGAACCTAAGTGGCAGGTTGCTTAGTCAACGGGAACGAGCTGAAAGAGTTGCGGAAGCTGTCTGGCAGTTCCGAAGCAGCCTGGGTTGCTTGGCTTGCGGGCGCGGGACATCGCTCGCTTTCTTTTTTGCCTCTTGGCCATTTCGTAGAGCTCTGCTTTTGGTTACTTGCTTTCCGTAGAAGTTCATGCCATGCAAATGATTATTCAAGAGATCAATCTATTTGCTGGGGGGCTTGTCACACAGATAAGTAGAGCAAGCGTGAACGCTTTGGTAGTTGGCCTTCACTTGGGCCTCCCAGTGTTCTTCTTTTTCCTAGATTTGCTCGCTGACACGCTTCATGGTTGACCCCCCGGAATTGAAGCCCAGCTGTCAGCTTGATAGTAGTCAGCTTTGGCTTTGCTCCTCCGAATGATTGCCGCAGGAGAGGCGAAATTGACATGGTCAACCTGACATTGCACAGGGATGACTGTACTCACGTAAGCACGAACGGCTGAACGCCGAGCTGGACAATGCATCTAGGGATTAAATAAGTCGATTGGGGTTTGGGGGTAGTTAAACACATGAATGAGTCATGATTCTACGAGCAAGCTCGTAATTACTTGGCCCCTTAGGTTCGGCTTGACCTGAGGGTATGGACATCAACTTTACGGACCCTGCCGTGACGACATTGACCTTGCATGCAAAGAGCGTGGATCCTCGGCTTGAGATGGCCAAAACTGCCTGAGCCAAATGTCAACAGCTGGGTAGCTGCAGGGTAATTGGAAGGTAGAAAGGAGCACGTTCGACCATCCTTGCCCAACCATGCGCAGATTCTCGCATGGTTTCGAGTAAGCTTCCATCTCCGCGAATCTAAACAAGTAAATGTGTGAGTCCGTTGGAAAACCCTACAGACGACCTTTCATTTTGGCGACCCTTCCCCAAACAACCACACGAAATGCTGGTTTCCGGTTGGTGGTTTCTTCATTTTTCCGGTTGGTGTTTTTTCCGGTTGGCCCTTCCCCTTTCATTTCTTCGAGTCGCTTTCTTTTTTTCCGCCCGGCACACGTCGCTGGGGTTCTCGCTGCAAGAAACACAGCTGCTGGCCAAAGACGCTGGAGGTGGCGGAGCTGCCGGAGGCGGAACTCGTTGGCCGCTTTCCGGGAGCCAACGGATACTGTGGATTACGAAATCCATTTCGCATCTGAGAAACCCTGGAATGTGTTTTTTTTTGTGTTTTTTTGGTGCATACCAACAAACTTTTTTTTTGCAGGGCTTTGTAGCGGTGAAGGATGTCGTCTTCTACAACGGGCCCTGGGCCGGGGGGCCCTCTTCACATGGATCCCAGAAATCCCTCTTGAAGGAAGACGGTCTTCCAGGCCCCCCCCCGGTGAGGATCCCCGTTTGGAGGGATGGGAGGGTGCCAGTATGCCACAAATTTGCAGGAATTCTGATGGAGTGGAGACTTCTGGATTGAGATTCAGCTAGCCCGGTCCATCCGAGGACTCACGCAGAGTCTGTGGTGCTTGCGCGTTGAAATAACAAAGAGGGCCTTTGTCAGGCGAATGGGCACACTACGAAGGACTGAGAATTTGTTTTGGCGTAAGAGCTGCAGAAGGGCGTGCAGCATTTTGCTGCGCGGAAAACTGAAAGCTTTTGGTTCGTGCAGCTTGCAGCCAGCCCCTAGGCAAAATGGCTTCTCGTCAAAAACAGAAAACCGACCTACGAGCAGCTGACGTAGTATCTTAGCCTCAGTGATTTGACACAATGCCCCCTGTGGCGGCACCTCTGTTGCAGATACTTATTCAGTTTGGAGACTGGCATCAGCCACAGCATATGCGAGCGTTTCCTTTTTGGGTTGGTCACTACCACATCAGAAGTGAATCTTAAGCAACTTTTCCTGGAGGCAGACACAGGTGCTATTTGCCAAGGAGAACCATGAAGTGAACAAGAACAACACATCAGGCCCCTACTCGTTACCAGCCCTAGAGCATCAAGCGCTATTTGCTGGTAAGGCTAATTCGACAATCGTGTCTTGGCAAACCATTCGGCAGAAGTGGGCGGTCTTTCCTTACAACCATAATGAGACTCCTTCCCTTCCTTTTAGTAGGGTTAAGCCTAGGGGTGCTGAATTGAAGTGTGACCTAGCAACATCTTGTGGCAAGTGTTTCGGACAGTGTTCACAGGCATCAGACGTAGTTATTTGCTATGGGCAGCGTTGTTGCTTCAAGCTCCATGTAGTTGAAACATCTTGCAGACAAAACACACATTCCAGTCTCTGTGTGAGACTTTGGAAGTGCAGACCGTCCCGCCTCTCCGACAGGTCAACTGGCTGAAATGTGATGAGGACAAGCAGAAGGCAAGGCCACAGCAGTACTGCTTGCTCCATCTCCTGGCTGTGCCTTTCCGCCATCCTTCATCGTCCGCCATGCACCACAGCCTTGTTTGATTGGCTCCACCTCTTCGACGACTACAGCTCGTCCGCCATATCATATTTTCTCCACATCAAGACTTTCAGACATCCAGCATGTATTGGAATTGTATTGCTTCAGCCCAATCTTGAAACAATCTATTCTTCTTTGGCGAGGTACAAATAGAAAATGTCCAAGAACCAGCTTGTGGTCAAACATATTGGACCTTGCTATTAGCGTACCCAATCTTCTAGGTCTTTCCTGCCCCGCAGACAGAAATAGTGAGTATGCCTGGCAGTTGCGCTCCACATGCAATAAAAGCTTGTTCTCTGCGCAATGATGCGGAGAGCTTCTTGTCTTTGGCGCAGGCTTGCTGGGGGGCGCTTCTTGAAGGGAGATGCCCTTTGCGGCATGGGTGTGGCCGGAATTAGTTGCACTCAGCACGTCTATGTGCTGATTTGCCATGGTCAGAACATACAGTTCTTTGGGGTTAATCTTCTGGGATGGGCAGAGATATTTGAGCCCCGCTCCATGAGAATTGCCAGCCCCTCTGTCGATTCAACGAAGCAATGATCACCTCCAGATGACAACATTCGGGAGCCGCCACCAGCTCTCCAACTCGATCTTACCGGTCAGATTGTATTAAACCCTTGCACCTTTTTGCCTTGATCTCATGCAGATGCCCATCTCTTGCATTCTTCTGGCCCTTGCTTGATCTTTGCAGGATCAGTGGAGGATCATTTCGACACCCTCTATGCAGTGGCAGGCAAGATTGGCGCCTAGGCGTGTATTGGGACGGCTGGCTGTTGCAGCCTGCTGCTGAACGCTGTTGATACCATAGAACATTGTCACAGATGCAAGCGCAGCGGAGACCGAATGAGAGACGCAGCCAAGCGAACACAGACGTACGGATGCATGCACGCACAAATGCAATCGTGCAGTATGGAGAAGAAGCTCAAAAGACAGACACAAGGCCGCATATCAAGCGGCAGGCTTCGCGGTGTTCCTAAGTTCGGGGGTATGAGGTTTGGATGGTGCTGTTGATTTGGGCTTGCGGGGCTCGATGAGATCTGGGCACTCAGGAATTCATTGGCGAGAGCCAGGGCGGATACTGTCTCATCAGTACAGAGGGCGTGCTGAAGCCTTGCGGCAGCTCGGCGGTTTGGCAATTCTGACAAAGCATGGTATCCCAGTTGCCATTCTCTTTTTTTCAATGGCAGCTTCCCTTGACCGATGGTCGTGGTATGCCTGGGAGCACTGGGAAAGGCCAATTAGTGCGTGTTGCAAAATCTTTGCAGTGGCTCAAAAGACCGGTGCCAAAATGGCCACCTTGGTAAATGGAACCAAAGACTAAAACCCGCGTAACCCTAGCTCCTTAATTTTGAGCCACGCCCAAATGTTTGCAGTGGCTTGGCATGCAAAGACTTCTTCCTTCCACTTTGCCAGTCTGCGGGGCGTCGTCTCTGATTGGCGATGGAGTGTCAGCCACATGGAGAAGGGCCTATGGTTCTAAGGGTTGCTTCCCATTCTTTCCAGAGATCCTTCTTTCTAGAAAACCAGCAAAATCCCTGGGAAGACAGCTGGTTTTTGAAAAGAACGATGGTAGAATGGGGAATCAACCCCTGGAATGGTCGTATTTTGGGCCCGCAAAAAGAAACTGCTTGCCACGGAGCCCATTTTTGGGGGCCAAGATGACTCAGCCGCAGCCGAGGCCGGGACGGCAGCGAGAGCTTCCCGTTGGAGATGCTGCAGCAAGACGTGGCCACCAGCGCGCTGTCGAACGCCCCCAAGTTCCAGGCGCCGAGAGATCGGATCCATTTTCGCGGCTCGGGTTCTGGGGGCGGTTGTGATGTCACCCAAGTGAAGGTGTTGTTTTCTTGGCGGTCCTTGTTTTTGGTTGGTAGATTATTGTATAATTTGCCTGGATTCATGGAATACTTGGGACTTGGCTCGAGTTATGACACCACGGAACCATCATCTCTGCATCAAGTGAGCCTTTTGTCGGGGCTTCTTCAAATCGTTTTGGGTCCGGCATTTCCACACGCCCTAGCAAGAACAAGAAAGAATCAGCAGGCTGGCTGGGTTCACTCAAAGTTACTTCTGGGATCCGGTGGATTTTGTTTTCGTCAGTTCAGTGTGGCTTTGAGAGCTTCTCTATGGACTCCAGCTGTTTAGTCTGAGCAGAGAGTGTGCTTGCATCACCTAAACGGCCATGGAACCGTGTTCGGTTCCATTAATGGTGGGAACTGTGGCCATTCCCATATTTTGTAAGAAGCCAGACAAAACATGTCGGTGCACTTAGTGCAAAGGGAAAGCGCCAGCTGGGTGGGAGGGTGGGTGGGTGGGTGGGTGGGTGGGTGGGTGGGTGGGTGGGTGTGTGGGTGTGTCGTTTCCCCCACCTTTGGTTTGGCATTTGTAAGCTGCGTCTCCCTCTAATACATACATACATACATACATACATACATACATACATACATACATACATACATACATACATACATACATACATACATACATACATACATACATACATACATACATACATACATACATACATACATACATACATACATACATACATACATACATACATACATACATACATACATACATACATACATACATACATACATACATACATACATACATACATACATACATACATACATACATACATACATACATACATACATACATACATACATACATACATACATACATACATACATACATACATACATACATACATACATACATACATACATACATACATACATACATACATACATATATATATGAGTACAGAATGAACATGCCTATCCTTAGGAGCAGATACCACAATTCTCGAACTGCAACAATCCACCAAAAGAGGATACAGGCATATTATATAGGTTCATCCTGAGCCTTCGGATAATGAAGGGGGGTTTTTCACAGCAGCGACTGGCATTGGTCGAGTTTCCACTCTTTGATCCTTGGCATTCTAGCTGCTCCCCTTCACGGAAACAGCCTTGACATACTTTGTCAATGCCCAAGGCCAGTTCGCATCACATGCGACATTTGGTGGCTTTTGGTATCCACGTTGGGTGTTTCAACCCTTGTGCCGGTCACAACCTGATGCCCGGCCAAAAGCACTGCAATCCAAGCCAAATCGAAATCTTGGAGCGAATCAGTGCGCAAGAAAAGCTTTCACTGGTTCGTTTCTACCCTGATCCATGTAGATGGAAGCAGAGCAGCCAGGCTTTTCATTTTCTGCGCTTGACGGTCCGAAGTTCTTAAAGTGGGGTGTGCTCCCAAGGTGCCAGAGACCGCTTCGACGCTTCGCCTGCGACAGGACAGCGAGTGTCAGCAGGTTGCCTTTAAGGAGGACGGGCAACGGGGTGTGACACATGCGGGGTCTTGCCCGATGTTTTGGGTTGCGTTTGACCCAAGATGAAACAACGTTGAAAGGGAAACACGATGTAAGGCAACGTCCCATAAGTCGACGATGACCATGAATTTGATGATGGCCATGAAGAAATAAATGATGCTTATGAGTATGATGATGGCCATGAGCATGATGAATACTTTGATTGAATTGTGCTTGCCAGGTCCAGGCGGGCGCCCGTTCTGCGCCCGTTCGGCACCTTAATCTCATTTCGGTCAGCTTGTTACCGCTGGTGGAGCAAAGGATTTGTTGGCGATTTTGCCACAACTCTCAGTCACACATAGCATTTGCCTCTGTTCTCCAAACAGGCAAGCATTGCAAGAATCAAAGATGCTTTCAGGGAGCATCAAGGTCACTTGGCCTTTCTCCAAGATTCGTGCTCTGGCTGAATCTTTGGGAGCACAACTGCAGTATGGTCCGCAACCAGACATGATGCCATTTCCTGTTGGCCAATTTGCTCTTAATGAAGGCGAGCAACGTGGAATTGGGCTGCACCATTCGTGACAGACCGCCCAGAATACATGCAGATGCTTATTGGGCATGGATGCGACCGAGATGTCAGGGATACGTTGCCGCTTAGAATTCAGGAGAGCGAAAGGCCATGGCTTAGGAGTTGTCGGGATACTCGACAGGAAGGCAGCTCGACAAAGCAGAAGGAGTTCAAAGAGGAGGCTGGAAGCTGGTCAATCTTCCTATGCATTTAGCTCAGCCGTTTCACAGAGAGGCGCGCATTGCCTTGAACCCAATCTAGCGTGTAGAATTGCGCAGCATGTGTCATCCGAGGTTAACTCTTGGCTCTTTCTATCAACTTGCCATCCTCAGTTCTTGGGCCACCCAAACCAAAGCTCAGCCCACAGCCTGCAGGTGTACTGGAGTGGTGTGTGCGCGGCATGCCCTGCCGGATGGTGGCAGTGGAAGCATTGCACGAGGGGGGGCGCGATCGTGAAGTCGAAACCCTGCGGCACATGGAACCTGTGGTGTGAGGGCCAATGCAAAATTGTACCTCCGGTGAAAGAGAACGCGCCTTAGCTGAAGTTTATTTGGCAGTTTTCAGGTGTCGAACTGCCTTTCTGGTCTTGCTCCCATGGACAGAAGGGGGTCACACGCACGCAGCTGGGACAAGTTGTACAAGGATGGGGTCAGCGGAGATGCAAACTGTCGCTGCTGTTGCTGGCTGCTGCTTTGGCCGCTGCTGTTGCTGTCATGGTCGTGGTGGTGGTCCTGCTGCTGCTGCTGCTGCTGCTGCTGCTGCTGCTGCTGCTGCTGCTGCTGCTGCTGCTGCTGCTGCTTGATTGCTGGCTTGGTGGGTATGTTGTCAGGAGTTTCTTTTGAAGTACGTATCTGGCAACTGAAGCCCCACACCAGGTGTGGTACTCCTTTTTGGCGAACAAGTTGGAGGCGACTGGATGCTCCAAGCAAGTCATGACCCGCTTCTCCATGCAAACAGCGAATGTGCTGCCTGGCTGCGTAGAATAACACACAGCTCCAAGCCGGCGTGCATACTTCAAGCAACATCGTGCATCATTTGTGAACTGCCCCACCGGCAGGTTGTGTCAGAAGCTGCAGCAGAAACCAATGTGTGTTGTTTTTTGCCAACCCACATGCTCCAACTCTTGCCCAGGAAGAAATGGTCCTCCATTCCGATGCCTCCAGGGAATGGCAAGCTTGAGGACATGTGCGTCGACGAAACTACGACGCTTGGCAATGCAACTCTCGTTCGCATAGGCTTGATCCTGTGAGAGGGCTTGGTGAAAGCTGTTCCCCTGTTTTTCCAGGAATCCTTCCAAAACCCCGGGTGATCTCAATATTTGGAGAAAACAAAGGGTTCCCGCCATGACAGGAAAGGTCCATTTTCCTCGGAGATTCTTTGGGCTTCCGCTCTGGTTCATTTCGCACGTGAGGACTTGCGGCGAGCCGAGAGAAGAGGCTGCCATCTCCTTGCGGCAGGCTCCGACTGGAGACGCGGAGTGGGTTGCGCTTCGGGGGATAGAGGGGAGACCTCAGAATCGGTTTTGCTCCGTGTTCCAAAAAACCTTCAGAATAGGTTTTGGAAATAAATCCGCACCCGTCGGTTTTGGCTCCCTGCGGTTCCAAAATGGTTAGGTCAGCAGGTTTCACGGGATTGGCTATATACGCGAGCCCATTTCTGACGTGGCAACGTACAAGATCAGACAAGGATGAGGCAATGACGCTCGGCGCAAGCTGAAGGTCTCCAGTCCACCAGCGCCAGGCATTTGCGAGCGTCAGCCAAAGAAACGATGGACAGGGCCGTGCTCATAGGTGTCCTTTTTGGTTGTCTTGCCAGAAAAATAGATGGCCCTGGCTTACCTGGTGGTTTAATCATCTACCAGGGCCATCTATTTCCCCTAAAAGGACACCTATGGCTGTGCCTGGTTGGTGCTCTGGATGGCGCACCGCGTCACTGTCTTGCTTGCCTGCCCGACCGTCGAGCCCTTCGGGGTTTGCCCCTTTTTCTTGCATCCCGAGCTCGAGATCTCCGCGAGCCCGCGAGCGTTTTCACTCTCTCTGCCCCCCATCTTCCATGCACCAACTTTCAGCTGATCTCCGTGTTCCGACTCCGGCTCGTTGTCTTCAAGCCTGAAGGCCTGTTTCCAGCACTCAGCTTTCCAGAACTTCGGCGTCCAGCAGTCAGCTTTCCAGCAAAAAAAAAAAACTGCTGGCCAGTCTGCAGCTGACCTTGGGGAGAAACCACTTGTGGCTGTTTCAGCACGATGTGCTCTCGTGATTCTTACTGACAAGAAGCAAACCCAAGCGAACCGCACGAAAGAGCTTAAACTTGCGACCCCCTCCTGCAAACAAGTGTGTGTTGTGTGCACTTATTAAAAGGCTTCAACCTCCTTATCATTCTCAAAGGAAGACAATTGTAGGGCATTTATTCAACGTAAGTGTGAACTGTGAACCCTTCGCGCCAGTAACGCTTCCTGCACCAAGTGAGTAAAACATGGCTTGCGCTCACAAGTGCCTTGGTTCCGCAACTTGAGCCGGCTGGGCTCCTAACAGACCGGCAAAAGAAACGCGGATCACGAAGCCACCAGCGACCCGGGTCGTTGACCTTGGAATCAGCGACCAACACGAAGCGACCGGATCCAGATGAGCTCGCGGGATTTTTTCAACAGAACCTCTGGCTCCTGCCAGTCATTCGTTTTGCATTTCTGAAAGTGCATGCAAGAGTGCATGCAATCTGCAAAACCAATACGTACATCTTGCACAGAATATGCTGTATTTCAGCCATACATTGCAACGAGGCAAGCAGTTCCTTTCTTTAAGGAGGAGTTTGTTGCTGTCGAGTCTTGGTTTCCTGCGGCAAGCAACCAAAGACTTGCTGCTCTAGAAGTGGTGGGGTGTCTCAGGACAAATCAAAATACAAGCCGCCAAAAACAGGACAGCGCATGCATGTTGCCTTTATGCATATGTGAAACTCAATACTCGTCCCACAAAATATGCCGGTGAAAAAGCAACTCGCATGTTGGCAGACTCGGACATATGTGGTGTTGGCAGATCCGGCTTGGGTCCTTTCGGAAAAACGCGGTCGGCGAGCCTCTGGCGGCGAGGCCAAGGTCGTGTTGGTCTCTGCTTGCGCGGGCCGATCGAGAGGATCGAGTGGTTCTTTGGGTGGGCGACCGATCTGGGTTTGTTGGGCGTGGGTTTGGACTCCTGAGCGATTCGACTCACCGGACGCCTTGGACTCGACCCTCTCCCGTTGCGCAGGCGCCGGCGCACAAGGTGACGTGCCCAGCAAACATGGCCCTGAGAAGCTTCAGGCGACTCGGATGGTTAGTTGGGGCACGGGCTCGAGCCAGTTGACTTCTTTGCGTCCAGAGGCTCAATGTGTTGAAAGGGGGGGCAGATTGGACGCGAGGCTGAGCAGCGGAAAAGGTTGACTCTGCTACTGCGCCGAGGTTTGAACACTGCGGCAAGCTGCTGGGGCCAGGCCCTCAGTGGTGGGCATCTCTGAGACTTGTTTCAGGCAAGCTCCTGAACTCATGTTGACATGCTCAGCCTCATTGTGGCAACTCCGCTCACGGTCCTCCATTTGAAGAGTT